CACACATACACACACAACACATGACGATACGGCCCAAGCTCCAGCACTGCCTTAGCTCAAATCTTTTCTTTTGTACTCATGTTGACATCATCCCCATCATATTTGAATCTATGTATATGTCGATACATCTACCTATTTCATGCCGCCTATTGATACATCTGAGGCATGATGTATTGATATCCACTGTCTCTACATACTTAAATAGTACTGAATGGAAATAAAAAGAATACTTGACACTTCAGTTTTAGATTAAATTAATGTACAATTGTTTACTCTTAAATTTACTTATTTGTGACCTTAATATGGAGTACATATGGAAATAAATTTGCTATATATATTTAAATTCAAATTTTCATGTGTAAGAGAGTTGTATTTTCAACCTGCCTAATAAATTTTTATCTACTATTCCCTGATCTGAAATAATGCAACAGTATCATTCTTGCATACTAAATCAACTTTTTTACGCATTACTGATCAAACTTTAAAACATTGACTACACGCTCAGTTATGCACCTTGCATTTTCAAACCAAGGGACTGTTTCAGTAGATTTATACTTTTATCTATTTAATTAATACAATATGACCAGATCTAGTACAACTAAAATACTACCTCCGTTCCTAAATATAAGTCTTTTTAGAGATTCCACTACGGACTACTACGAAGTAAAATGGGTGAATCTATACTCTAAACATGTCCGTAGTGGAATCTCTAAAAGGACCTATATTTAGGAACGGAGGGAATACATATGATTTGCCTGATTCACATTCTATAGGAAGTACTTTCTCTGTAACTTTTTAGAGTCCATGACAGTGTCAAAAAACATCTTATATTAAGTTACAGAGGGAATAGATACTAAGCAAATAAGTGAAATCATTTGTTGATCAGCGGTGATGTCACTGCTTGCATATGTTATGGACTGATTTGGATGGACTTCGGTCACTGCCAATTCGGATACAAATACTGGTGTATTACATAGTGGGTTTAAGCTCATATGTAGGTACATTGATTTCTAAATCTAAGCCATTCAAATTGATGATCGATGGACTTAGATAATTCAGTCCATGTGGAAGCACATGCTGACTCGTTTGCCTTCCGTTTTAATAATAAAATAATAATATATAGATAACTTACCTCAATCAAAGAGGAATGTCCTGGATCCGTTCCCAACGACAGTGCCTACACATGAGGTAGAAAATTAGGGACTCAATCCAGAATGATAATTTTATTTCGGGAGAGGATAGAACAAGAACTTACCAGTGCTGTCCCACCCAGAGCAACCAGCGCAGAGAGAAAGTTGAAAAACAGGGCTTTAGTTACGGTGAATCCTGAGCGAACCAGAATCCCAAAATCCCCAATCTAAACAAAGAGATGAGAAGTTTGTCATCAACCAGCAGTATCATTTTTCGTGTAATTCAATAAAACTGTTCAGCTCAGAAAAAAGGTTAATTCAAATAAAGTAGGACGCGTTTATCTGGGGAATGTTCGCTAGGGGCGAATTGCCAGCGAACACCCCACTTGCCATGCCGGAATAAATAAAATTGAAATGCGTTTTTTAGGGAAATGCCATGTACGGAAGGTGAAATTGACATGTATAGGAAAGAATTGCCAGCGATTTAAAAAAAATTGCCATCCACGTGATCTGGATCCAATGGCTGTGGGGGCGTTCGCTGGGACTGCCTTCCCAGTGAACGTTCGCCCATTAGCATTTCCAATAAAGTATCCGACATGCTACACGTAAGCAAACAACAAGCATCACTGAAGATAATCTAACTAATCCGGTTGTAACAAACCAAGATTCATTTCCCAACTATGGAGAGCTTACAGAATAGAGATCTAAAGCTACAAGCATAGCATAATAATACTATAATAATATATGAAAATCTAAATTCCACGTGACACATTAGCTATTCATTCATATATCATGACCAATATTTTCACTCCAGCAGAACTTCCTGAGCGACCAGCATGCAAAAAGAGTTCATATATTTATGTGATCTCCAATTTTCACATGATACCACGGCAAAGTATATTCTAAAAAGATAAAAATCATTATTAGTCACAGATAAGAAAGATTAGATGTGATACTGGATTCTTATCTTCTGGATCAGATGCACTTGGATAGAGAATATCACAAAATTGCTAGAACAGCAGAACATGAACTGCCTCATGATCTTAGGGCACAAAGCCACAAACTACTTGTGGTCCCGGAACCGGTAACCAGATTGACACATCAGTACATCACACCATGTCTAAGCTAGCATTTCCAAACAGTCTTGGTCACGCTTGACATTTTGTGTCAATGTGAGGTTCCATTTTGTGTCAATGTGAGGTTCCAAGACTTCCCTCTCCTCTTGGTACCAGTGAAAGTAGCAGCTGCTCATGGTCTAACATACTGAACCAATGCCAAATATGTGTTTTAACTAATACCACGTAACAATGCAAAAAAAAAAGTAACACTGGTAGGAGGCAAGAGGAGAGAATACTGTAAGTTAGATCTGAAATCAGTTACTTGAGGAGGAAGGTAACCTCTTGAGGAAGTTCATGAGCGAGCAGAAATAAAGTTCTAGACCATCCTCCAACAGAACCATGTAGCAGAAAAGCACTTCCAAGAGCCATCCCATCAGTGAAGTTATGCTGCATTAATCACATACTTATTTTCTGAAATTCCATCAAATCAAACCTAGTAAAGCTGAAAAATCTAATATACAATCAGACTGCACGCGCAAGACAAAAACATAAAAATAGCTGTGAGTATTCAGATCATAGACTTACAACACCATCTGAGAAAAGATTGAGGTAGCCAAACACGAGGTTGGAGTTTGAAACAGAGGGATCTTCACTCGATAATGTTTTGCCAGGGGCAGGATTAGTTTCAGAATTGATAGGCTCTCTGTCGGTGGCACCAGGCACCACGTCCAAACCTGATCTCTGTGATCCTAAAACGGCTTCCTGTGAATAATACAAAAAGTTTTCACTAAAACAGTAGGGATGACAGACTAGTTACAGTAGAAATTACCAAAATATTAATTTAGTTTCACTGCTACATTTGCTATTTTATCTCTTTTATTTATTGATGTGGCAGTCAGTATGTAGATTGTTACCACAGCTGTGGCACACCACAGTTTTGTGTGTCATGGTGCACCTTTCACAAATATATTATTTGGCATGCTTTCAGGGCGACTTGACAGCCACAAAAGGTTATTGTTGTGTTCGCACAAATATACTTGTCTTTAGCTGAACCTAGTGTCCTTCAATTTTTGGAATGCACTAATTTTATTTCCCAGCTAACCAAGTTTCCACACTTTACAGGCATGTTTTCCATCCAAGGCCATTTTTTTTCACAAATTTCGACAACTATTGTACTTCGTAAATGTAAATGAACTATAGAAGGAAAAAAGCAGATGTTGCACACCTGGGTGGGAGCACTATATTTGAGATATGTTTTGCCATATTCAAGTTGTACCAAAATTTTTAAAACAAATCATGCATGTCCATCAGGTGCTAAGGGTGTGTTTGATTCCAATCACCAAGTGGAATGGCATGGGTCAGACCCGTGACCGGCCTCGCTCCCGAACGCACCAATACCTCCAAATCAGAGGAATCACACGGAACCGGTTGCTCTCTTTCCTCACACTCCACCAAAACCATGCCACGTCTCCTCTCTCAGGTCACCTCCCCCTCGTCTCTCCCTTCCCTCCCTCTGCTCTCTCAACGCTCCCATCTGGGTAGCGGACCGGGCAGCAACCGACGGGGGCCGGTGGTTGCTGGCGGCGGCCTGGCCTGCAGAGGAGCGGCTGCAGTTTTCTGGCGACGACCAGATCTTCCGGGGAGCGGCGATGGCCTGATCTGCTGGTGGGCGGCGGCTTGATCTGCTGGCGCGGCGGCTTGATCTGCTGGTGGGCGACGGCGGACTGACTTGCCGGTGAGTGGGCGGCCGATTTGTTTGGGGCGGTGGCTGACCTGCTGCCCCGCTGGTGGCAACAACCTGGCTGGTAGCGACACGCATGGACCTGGGAAGAGGAGCCTGGTGTGCTGTTGTTCGTCAGAGACTAGCAGGCGAGCAACTTCTGGTCCTTCCTCCGATCTGAAGCTTTACTTCAGTAGACTAATGGAGGCAGAGGAGCAGTGGCAGATGGCTAATGGCAACCAGCCAACGAGTTCATTAGCTCTTAATCATTAATCATTGAGGAGTTTGACCGTGGCTTTGGTGCAAGAGGAAATAACAACAACAACAACAATAAAGCCTTTAGTCCCAAACAAGTTGGGGTAGGCTAGAGGTGAAACCCATAAGATCTCGCAACCAACTCATGGCTCTGGTACATGGATAGCAAGCTTCCACGCACCCCTGTCCATAGCTAGCTCTTTGGTGATACTCCAATCCTTCAGGTCTCTCTTAACAGACTCCTCACATGTCAAATTCGGTCTACCCCGCCCTCTCTTGACATTCTCCGCACGCTTTAGCCGTCCGCTATGCACTGGAGCTTCTGGAGGCCTGCGCTGAATATGCCCAAACCATCTCAGACGATGTTGGACAAGCTTCTCTTCAATTGGTGCCACCCCAACTCTATCTCGTATATCATCATTCCGGACTCGATCCTTCCTCGTGTGGCCACACATCCATCTCAACATACGCATCTCCGCCACACCTAACTGTTGAACATGTCGCCTTTTAGTCGGCCAACACTTAGCACCATACAACATTGCGGGTCGAACCGCCGTCCTGTAGAACTTGCCTTTTAGCTTTTGTGGCACTCTCTTGTCACAGAGAATGCCAGAAGCTTGGTGCCACTTCATCCATCCGGCTTTGATTCGATGGTTCACATCTTCATCAATACCCCCATCCTCCTGTAGCATTGACCCCAAATACCGAAAGGTGTCCTTCCGAGGTACCACCTGGCCATCAAGGCTAACCTCCTCCTCACACCTAGTAGCACTGAAACCGCATATCATGTACTCGGTTTTAGTTCTACTAAGCCTAAACCCTTTCGATTCCAAGGTTTGTCTCCATAACTCTAACTTCCTATTTACCCCATGTCGTCAACTAGCACCACATCATCCGCAAAGAGCATACACCATGGGATATCTCCTTGTATATCCCTTGTGACCTCATCCATCACCAATGCAAAAAGATAAGGGCTCAAAGCTGACCCCTGATGCAGTCCTATCTTAATCGGGAAGTCATCGGTGTCGACATCACTTGTTCGAACACTTGTCACAACATTATCGTACATGTCCTTGATGAGGGTAATGTACTTTGCTGGGACCTTGTGTTTCTCCAAGGCCCACCACATGACATTCCGCGGTATCTTATCATAGGCCTTCTCCAAGTCAATGAACACCATATGCAAGTCCTTCTTTTGCTCCCTATATCTCTCCATAAGTTATCGTACCAAGAAAATGGCTTCCATGGTCGACCTCCCAGGCATGAAACCAAACTGATTTTTGGTCACGCTTGTCATTCTTCTTAAGCGGTGCTCAATGACTCTCTCCCATAGCTTCATTGTATGGCTCATCAGCTTAATTCCACGGTAATTACTACAACTCTGAACATCCCCCTTGTTCTTGAAGATTGGTACTAATATACTCCGTCTCCATTCTCCTGGCATCTTATTTGCCCGAAAAATGAGGTTGAAAAGCTTGGTTAGCCATACTATCGCTATGTCCCCGAGACCTTTCCACACCTCAATGGGGATACAATCAAGGCCCATCGCCTTGCCTCCTTTCATCCTTTTTAAAGCCACCTTGACCTCAGACTCCTGGATTCGCCGCACAAAACGCATGTTGGTCTCATCAAAGGAGTCGTCGAGTTCAATGGTAGAACTCTCATTCTCCCCATTGAACAGCTTGTCGAAGTACTCCCGCCATCTATGCTTAATCTCCTCGTCCTTCACCAAGAGGAGATAGTTGTAGATATTTCTGATGTCATTTTTATTATGCTTTGTTAATGTACCTTGTCAAAATGAACCAATGCCATTATGTTCCATCCCTCCAACCAAACAGTGAAATGTAACCATTCCATTCCATGTATTGTCTCCAAACAAACACAGGAACGGAACCGACCCATTCCAGTGGAATGGAATCATGACATTCCATTCCACTTCGTTCCGCAACCAAACACACCCTAACATGTCCACATGAAAATTTTGGTACCAAAACATGAATGCATGTGCCCTTAAAAAATTGGTGCAGCTTGCATAGTAAATAGTATGATATGCAAGGTGCATCAATTTGTTTGTTTCTCACATGATGCATATGATTCAAATTTTGCAAGTGTGTATGTCATCTCATAATGTCCATTCAAGATTTTTTTTCCATCCTTTTTCATAACATTTTGAATTGGAAAACACACACGCGGAATATAGGGTGCAACGCTGCACAGGTGGAGATCAGCATTTCCACACACAGGTACCCATGTAATGATAAGACTTGAAGGCTTAGGAGAACATATTGCATACCTTCAGAATTTATATCAACTAGAATTAGGTATACCTTAGTAGCATTTGACTCTTGCTCATTTTCAGCATCTATCATTTTTCTGGTTGCGCCATCATGCAAAGAATTTTGTTGCACTTGATCTGTGTCTTTACCCTCATCGTCACTTTTTATGTGACCCGACTTGGCCTTATCACTAATGTCTTGTCGCTTATGATGGTGATGATGGTGCCCATGGCTATGACCCCCCCTTTGAGAATTGTCCTCAACGTACCTCACAATCTTCTCGACAATAAAGAACAATACAATACCAACTGCATGAAATGGTTGGATGTTTCGAGGAATATTGCATAGAAGCATGGAAAAAGAAAAGAGATTAGCAATTGAGTTATAAAATGATTAACAATGTCATCACTATATTTACATTTGTTCAGTAACATGCAGCAATGATTAATTCCTAACAAAACTGAGCAATCACATACTAAGAAATAATAAGATAAAATTGGTAGGCCTTATGGCATGTCAACATTGATTATCCTGAAAACAAAATTCCGACTTCTATAAATAATTGGTAGGCCTTTTGGCATGTTAACCTTAAGGGAAAACACTGTTTGATATAGGTATGTAAAAGGTAATACTCACATAAAATAGACAAGCCAACAGAAAGATCTTTCAGGGAGTGTGCATGTGACTGCTCATGAGCATGATCATGATCCTCATGATTGTGTGAATGAGAGTGCCCTCCACCTGTATACCCAATGAAACATAAAATGAGGAACAAATAAGAGTGCGGCTGAGACAGATTAGCACCACAAATGGTGTAAGAGTACTGCAGGTACAAAGGTCAGAAACATGCCCAAAAAAAAAGGTTCAAGAAAAATGCATTACTTCGGGCATGTCTGAAACACTAGAGTTTCTCCGGATTTCTCAGGAAATGATATAATTCAAGCAGAAATGTCCTATAACATTCAAGGTTCCAAACAAGACCGCTGCTAGGTGTACAGTTTTTGTCCAAACTTTAATATCAGCATGACAAACAAATGATGCTATTACATGTTAGCTGAAGTGCAATACTTCAGTCCCGTATAAACTCTTAACAATCAGGGGAAAGGGTTAAAAAAATGTTAATCATGCCCTAGATCCTACAAATAAAAGATATCGATATCAAGTAGATGGTTCAGTTTTAGTTTCCTAACAGAGTGCACACATCGGATAATTTGTTTGCGAGCTACTATGCTTCTATTTGGCATACAAACAAAATATGTTTAAAAACTGGGCAGCAAAATACACTGTAGCGAGCAAACCATTTATCAACATTGCGCATCTACCCACCTGCTATACCCCACGATACCTCCTTTACCAGCATACATAAAGGGCAACCTGGTGCATGTAGCTCCCGCTTGCGCAGGGTCCAGGGAAGGGTCCGACCACTTTGGGTCTATAGTACGCAGCCTTTCCCTACATTTCTGTAAGAGGCTGTTTCATACATACAGGGAACAATATATAACAGCCATTAAAAACTGATAGGGAGGCTGACATGCAGCTACAGTTATCATGGAAACAATATGCTAAGTTACCTCCGTAGAGTTTTTGAGCTCTTTGTTTTTGGGGCTTTTCTTCTCCCTTTGCTTTTTGTTTCGGCTAGGCTGCTCTTTGCTTTAGTTTTTGTTCTGGTTTGAGTTTGTTCTGTAAACCTCACATCATTTCAACGCTTTCTTCTTCTAATACAAAATAACATGCTGTGCGGTGTGCGGTCGAGAAAATGTTAAGTTGCTAACTGGTGGCAATTGATATTGATAATGAGTAGATCAACTATTAGTGCACACAAATTCTGACTTTCTGAGATGCATGACAACGAAGGCATGAAACAAAAACATAAGAACAAAAGACATAAAATGCATCAATACCAAAAGCATGAGGCAGTTGATGAAGGAATGAATCTCCAAGCATTGCGCCTGCCTACAAAACATCATAAACGAAACGACAAAAATTCTGTTATTGATTATTCAACAGCAGCTCAGTGAGGAACCTAGAGAAAATTATAAAAGCAAAACAAATACTTGATATGATAAACAAAGAAATTCAATAAGTGTGATGCATAATGTCATCTCAGATTCTTTGTTAGATTAATTTTTGTTGAGGCGAAGTGGTTTTACAGTATTCCTGTAGCGCACACAGTACGTTGTGGGCTGTATTTGCCCGTACATGTGCGGTTCGAGGGGACCATACCTGAGCAGCCAGTTCCCTTAGACGCGTCACCCCTGGTTTCCTTAAAGGGAACTGTGCAACTACCAAAGAAGGAGTCCAAGGCTTGCACGTCAAGGTCAAGATGAAGGATGGCGGCCACTGACCAAGACCCTTATATAAGGGTATACCCACAAGACGATTAGGAGGGGGGGGGGGGTCTTCGACCACTCCAAAAACCCTAGAATAGTAAGATAGGGCTTTCGTAGATCCGATCTTTGGCATTCTGCCTAGATCGTCCACCTCCGTCTTATTCGGCGACTCGATCCTCAACTCGCCAGATACACCACTGTGCACCTCCACTGTAATCCCTCTGATATAATCTCATGTAAGCAGGAGTAGGGTTATTACTCGCCACGCGAGGACCCAAACCTAGGTAAACTTGTCCCCCGTGTCCATCTGGTAACCTAAGGTGATGTCCCTCTGTCATACAAATCTATGTACATCCACCGCATTGCTGTTAGGTACATCACGGAACACCATCGACAGCTAGCGCCGACCGGTGGGAGCCTCAAACTACTAGATCGGATCTACGGACCTATCATATCTTCAAACTTCCTCTCCATCATCTCCGCCAAAGCAATCATCTTTTCGACCTTCATCGATATCATCGGCTCCGTCGGGCTGGTGCGTCAACCCAACCATGCCGTTTTACCAGCCAACACATCTAATCTTCCCAATGTGGTCATCACAGTCCACTTTGACCAAGCCATCGCCCATCTATTAGCTAGCTTAATATTAGTCTTTAAGAAAGTTCTAACAACTGCAAGTTCTGCACCTACCCCAAACACTGCAAGTGCATCCACAACGGCCTTCGACGGTTTCCCCTGAACTGCAAAATTCAAATAAAAAACAGTCAAAATGCGAACACTTACTCAGAAGAATGGTTGCCATGGATCAGAGCAGGGAACTCACACAAGATTACTGGGAGGAGGATGAGGCAGACGAGCGACGCCATGCTAACCAGCAGCGAGCACCCCATCGCTCTCAGCCACACGCCTGCCAAATCCCCGAAATTATCAGTGGTGTCGTGGCGTAGCACGCCTAGAAATCGCACATTCCGCAGAAAGTATACAGAGCAGGTGAAAATCCTGACCCATGGGTGTTGACTCTGGCTGGAAATCGCGGTGGATGTGGTCGTGGTGGTGATCATGGTGGTGATGGTGGTCGTGGTCGAAGCCCTCGAGCTCGAGATCCGCCTCCTCGGCCAGTTCCTCGGGAAGCAGCCGCTGGATCTCGTCGCGGTGATGGTGGCTGTGGTGGTGGTGGTGCTCGTGATTGGAATCGTCGAGGGCGCCCCCGCAGCTGTGCCCGTGGTCATGGTGCTCGTGGGGCTCCTCGTCGTGGCCGCCGTGGAAGGGGCATGAGGACGCGGAGGAATCCCCGTGCCCAGCCGCGGCGGCGAGGAGGGCGGCCAGGAGCAGCAGGGAGAGGAGACGGCAGAGCATTGCGACCAGAGAGAGCGTTGGGGCCTCGCGGAGGCTTCTCTTTTGCCGCTGCTTGGGCCTTTGCTGGGCATGTACGCGGGATAACGTATCCAGTGCACCATGATCCTAAAAAAAACATATCCAGTGCACCATGATTATCAAAAACAAAAAACATATACAGTGTATCGGCCCAACTGGTGCAGATACAGAACGGAACATAGAGTTGGTTGAAAGTATGCACGTAGATGGATTGCTAGAACAATCGCAATAAATCTCTCATTACTATATATAAAAATGTTCGCGAATATGCAAAAAAACGCCGACTCAGAAAATGTTCACGAATTCAAAATATTCATGAATTAAGAAAAGTGTTCCTCGAATTTTAAAAGATGTTCAAGAATTGAAAAAACGTTCCCCAAATTTCAACATAGTTCATGAATTTGATAAAAAATTTCCCATATTTCAAAAATATGTGATATGCTTCAATCTAATTCACCCTTTTTATTTTAAGAAACAAGCAATTATGTGATATGTTCACGGATCACACCTTTCAATCATTTCAGTAATCGAGAGCATTAAAAGTGATATGGACATGATAAAATTTACAATCAGACAGATAAATGTGAAACTGAAATATGTGTTTCACATATTTCCCAATCATGCGGATCAAAGAAATGCTCCTTTTGAACGTAATTCGCGTCTGAGTCTAGGCTCATATACACCCGATGAACATTAAATTCAAAACAAATAGTAAAAAATTTAAAAAATATATGGATTTTTTTGGCATCGAAGATGCTCCAACTAATTTTAAAAATATATTAAATTTGCCACCCTCGCGCCAACATAAATTGCCATAAAAAGATTTGATTTGCCATGCTTAAAAAATTTGACGTCAAATTTTTAACATCATCGTAAAAAAACATGCATAAGAAACTAAAGTTTTTGAAATTATAGCAATTTTTTGTGGAAAAAATGTCATGGCAAATATACACACTATTTAGCTGGACCACATCAGTGTCTCTAGCTCCAGCAAAATCAACATCCTTGGCAAGCGTGTCATCCCTAGTTATTGACATTCAATCTGTACTCCACAGCAAACAATATGGATGCTACATAACCAATGAAAATCCTCCACTCAACAACAAACAACACCGCAAAAATCCCCCACTCTACATCAAACAACATGCACTGAGAGGAAAATTTGCGAAATGTCCACGAAACTATCAAAACATGGATGCTACATACTACTCCCTCAGTCTCAAAATTTGTGTCTTAGATTTGTCTAGATACGGACTAAAACATGACTTGATACGTCCATATTTAGATAAATTTGATACGTCTCCAACGTATCTATAATTTTTGATTGTTCCATGCTATTATATTATCTGTTTTGGATGTTTAATGGGCTTTAATATACACTTTTATATTATTTTTGGGACTAACCTATTAACCAAAGCCTAGTGCAAAATGTTGTTTTTTGCCTATTTCAGTGTTTCGCAGAAAAAGAATATCAAATGGAATGAAACCTTCGCGAGGATCTTTTATGTAACAAAAGCAATCCAGGAGACTTGGAGTGGAGGTCAATGAAGCCACGAGGCGGCCACGAGACAAGAGGGCGCGCCCCCACCCTCATGGGCCCCTCGTAGCTCCACTGACCCACTTCTTTCGCCTATATATACTCTTATACCCTGAAAACATCCAGGGGATCCACGAAACCACTTTTCCACCGCCGCAGCCTTCTGTACCCGTGAGATCCCATCTGGGGACCTTTTTCAGCGATCTGCCGGAGGAGGATTCGATCACGGAGGGCTTCTACATCAACACCATAGCCTCTCCGATGATGTATGAGTATTTTACCACAGACATTCGGGTCCATAGTTATTAGCTAGATGGCTTCTTCTCTCTTTTTGGTTCTCAATACAAAGTTCTCCTCGATGTTCTTGGAGATTTATTCGATGTAATACTTTTTGCGGTGTGTTTGCCGAGATCCGATGAATTGTGGGTTTATGATCAAGTTTATCTATGAACAATATTTGATTCTTCTCTGAATTCTTATATGCATGATTTGATATCTTTGCAAGTCTCTTCGAATTATCAGTTTGGTTTGTCCTACTAGATTGATCTTCCTTGCAATGGGAGAAGTGCTTAGCTTTGGGTTCAATCTTCCGGTGTCCTTTCCCAGTAACAGCAGGGGCAGCAAGGCACGTATTGTATTGTTGCCATCGAGGATAAAAAGATGGGATTTATATCATATTGCTTGAGTTTATCCCTCTACATAATGTCATCTTGCCTAATGCGTTACTCTGTTTTTATAAACTTAATACTCTAAATGCATGCTGGATAGCGGTCGATGTGTGGAGTAATAGTAGTAGATGCAGAATCGTTTCGGTCTACTTGACACGGACATGATGCCTACGTTCACGATCATGCCTAGATATTCTCATAACTATGCACTTTTCTATCAATTGCTTGGCAGTAATTTGTTCACCCACCATAATATATGCTATCTTGAGAAAAGCCACTAGTGAAACATATGGCCCCCGGATCTACTTTACATCATATAAGTTTCCAATCTGCAATTCTAGTTTACTATTTATTTTGCAATCTTTATCTTGCAATCTATACAAAAATACCAAAAATATTTATTTTATTATCTTTATCAGATCTCGCTTTTTCAAGTGGCCGTGAAGCGACTGACAACCCCTTTATCGTGTTGGTTGCAAGGTTCTTATTTGTTTGTGCAGGTACTAGGCGATTTGCGTGTAGTCTCCTACTGGATTGATACCTTGGTTCTCAAAAAAATCGAGAAAAATACTTACGCTACTTTGCTGCATCACCCTTTCCTCTTCAAGGGAAAATCAACGCATGCTCAAGAGGTAGCAAGAAGGATCTTTGGCGCCGTTGTCGGGGAGATTTGCACCAAGTCAAGTCCAGATTTGATCTCACGTCAACTAGCCATTTCTGGCGTCGTTGCCGGGGAGATCTACACTCAAGTCAAGACACACCAAGTACCCATCACAAACTCTTATCCCTAGCATTACATTATTTGCCATTTGCCTCTCGTTTTCCTCTCCCCCACTTCACCCTTGTCGTTTTCTTCGCCCCTCTTCCGTTTGTCCTTCTGTTTGCTCGTGTTACCATGTGGCTTCTATTTGATTGCATCTTCGCTTGCTAAAAATCTATTGATATGGATCCTCATCCTCTTGCTAATCTTTTTAAAAGATCCAATTATGATGAACCAATTGCTAGTATTTGAGTGCACTAGATTATCTTTATGTGGTTTTGCTTGAAATTCGTGAATCTGAAAATTGTGATGAAGTGTTTTATGAAGTGATTCACGATAGATCTTTGAATAAAAAGCATGATTGCAATGATGTTATTATAAATTCTATGAATTTCAATTGTGCTAATAATATGCAAAACCCTGAGCTTGAGGATGCTAGTTTTGCTATGTCTACTATTTGTTGCAATTATCATGATTGGGGTGATTCTTCTTATGTTCTTGAAAAATTATTTAAGCCCCATGATGAATATAAGATTGATAATGATGTTTGCAATATTGAAAGTGGGTTTGGAAGAATGTCAACTTTAGATCCCACGTATTTGGAGAATGTTCGATCTTATGCAATTTTCGATAAAAAATGGGTTTGGAGAGGTCATGACTTTAGTTAATGTTAATCCCACTATTTTGGAAGAGTGTCAACTTTGCATGCATGTGGATCATGTTGAAAATGTTTTATGTGAATTTGCTTATGATCCCACATGCAATTATTATGAGAGAGGAAAATATGATTGTAGTAATTTTCATGTTACTAAATTACCTCTCGTTATGTTGAGATTGCTATTGTTTCTTTTCGCTTCCTTGTGTATGCTAGTTTTTGCTTGCTATGATAATTTGTTTGCCTATAAGATGCCTATGCATAGGAAGTATGTTAGACTTAGATGTGTTTGTCACATGTTTCATGATGCTCTTGTTGTGCTTCAATTCTTGTCTTTTATGTGAGCATTATTGAAATTATCAATCCCTATAGCTAGGGGCGTTAAACGATAGCGCTTGTTGGGAGGCAACCCAATTTTATTTTTGTTCCTTGCTTTTTTTGCTATTTAGTAATAAATAAATTGTCTATCCTCTGTTATGATTGTGTTTTTTATGTTTTAGTTAGTGTTTGTGCCAAGTAAAGCCTTTAGGATCTTCTTGAGTGATTGTTGTTTGATCTTGCTGGAAAAAAACAGAAAGTATGCGCTCACGAGAATAATTTTCTTTTTTACCAGAGAGCGATAAAATACCAATTCCAACTTAAGTAGATCAATATACAAATTATTTAGGATGTCCAAATTTCTCAGGATTTTTGGAATTACAGAAGTATTCGGAACCTACAGATTACTACAGACTGTTCTGTTTTTGACATATTCTGTTTTTCGCGTGTTGTTTACTTATTTTGATGAATCTATGGCTTATTTTAAAGTGGTGGTTTGTTTTTTATACTAACGGAGCTCATGAGATTTTCTGTTGAGTTTTTTGTTGTGAAGTTTTCAAGTTTTTGGGTAAAGATTTGATGGATTTAGGAACAAGGAGTGGCAAGAGCCTAAGCTTGGGGATGCCCAAGGAACCCCAAGGTAAAATTTAAGGACAACCAAAAGCCTAAGCTTGGGGATGCCCCGGAAGGCATCCCCTCTTTTGCCTTCGTCTATCGGTAACTTTACTTGAGGCTATATTTTTATTCACCATGTGATATGTGTTTCGCTTGGAGCGTCTTGTATGATTTGAGTCTTTTCTTTTTAGTTTACCACAATCATCCTTGCTGTACATACCTTTTGGAGAGACACACATGAATCAGGATTTATTAGAATACTTTATGTGCTTCACTTATATCTTTTGAGCTAGATAATTTTGCTCTAGTGCTTCACTTATATCTTTTTAGAGCACGGTGGTGGTTTTATTTTATAGAAATTATTGATCTCTCATGCTTCACTTATATTATTTTGAGAGTCTTTTAGAACAGCATGGTAATTTGCTTTGG